GAGAGAGAGAGAGAGAGAGAGAGAGAGAGAGAGAGAGAGAGAGAGAGCAGGAGAAGGAGGGTTTCACTGAGACCTTGTATTTTTATTCACAGAAAATCAGGACTGCTTATGCACAGCATCCAAAGCTGGACTTTTTCAGAGGTCAAGAAGAGTTAACAAAGCCAGGGTGGCCAACTGCTTGTCTTCACCCAATATCAAGGCTTGGAGCATGCAGGATTTTTAGGTCATTGGCTGGTTTTCCAATCTCTTCATTTCCTGATCCTTGCTATGAAAGGTTGGAAGTTTTACTTGCAGGACATAGCTGTGATGTTTCCCAGCAGCTATCTTGTGAGTCCTGGCACAGAGAATGATGATGATGATGATGATGATGATGATGATGATGATGATGATAATGTATTATGAATGTACATCTCTGGCTCTGTGTGTGTCCATGAGTGTGTCTGTGTGTTTCTGTCTGTGTGTGAGTCTGTATGTATGTGTGGATCTGTATGTGTGTCTCTGTGTTTCTGTGTGTTGGTGGTGGCTGTGTCAATGTGTATGTGTGAGTCTTTGAGTCTTTGTGTCTGTGTGAATCTGTCTGACTGTGTGTCAGTCTGTCTCGGTCTCTCCCTCTCCCTCGATCCCTTTTGCAGGATTCATGAAATAACCTGAAGGCCAACCCCAGGACATTAATAAAATGATGATTTTTGTAATGTTTCTTCCACACTAGGAAGTGAAGAGAGAGAGAGAGAGAGAGAGAGAGAGAGAGAGAGAGAGAGAGAGACAAAGACAGAGAGACAGAGAGAGGTGGTGTGTGTGTGTGTGTGTGTGTGTGTGTGTGTGTGTGTGTGTGTGTGTACAACAGGCTTCCCTTGCATTGACAGAAGGAAGAACTCTTCTTGCCTGCAGGAGGGCTTATGCCTGGTACTTCCACTAGGCCTGAATGCATCATTCAACTCCCACTGCACACATCACTGTGAGGTTTCCATGGCATTTTTGCCAATGGATTGGACATTGGCAAAGAGGTTTTTAGATTTTGAGTAACTATGTTGTTGTGGAAAAACTTAATTGTTGAATGTTTGTACATAGCCTGGTTAACTCACAAAGAATATGAACTAGTCACCCAAATTCACTTCAGGTATCAAAGTTTTTCTTTCAGTGGAAAAATGTTCCTTGTATTCATTTATGTCAATCACTCTCTGATCTCTGTTCCTGGCAACCACTTGACTGCTTTCTGATGGAATAGTTTGGAAATGATCTGATTTATAAACATCAGGGCCCTAGCTATTCTATCATGGAAAAGAAATCATTGGTGACAGACTCTGCTACTAATAGAACAATTAATAATCTTAAAGATTCAAAAGTCATCTTTGACTAAGGACCTATGCATTTAGACCTCTGTTTTAACATCTGTCTGTTTGTCTGTCTGTTAGACTATGTCCCTGACTCCCTCAACAGAGCCAGGGATCATGATGACTCCATATTGAGGATCAGAGATCCTGGCATTCCAGAAGGACATGAGATGTCATTCTGTATCTCTCCAGAAGTCCAGGGAAGGAGCACAAACTGAAGAAGTGGCTTTGCCCTGCCTGCTGGCTACTGGCTTCCTGTGGCTTCTGCCTTATCAGTTCTTCTGCAATAAGAACTTTGCCCCATTCAATCAAATGTCCACACCTACACCCATAAAGGTACAAATGCCTGCCTGAGCCAGGCAGATCTGTTGAGTATCCTGCTGTCAGATTCTCATCTTGCACAGGTTTAAGCCTGAGATTCAACCATGCCATTTGCTAACCTTCCTGATTGGCTGTATGTTGTAGCCTCTGGGCTCCTTCTTCTCCTCCAGCATGTGCATGGTGAGACTATCTTAGTGAGCAGAAGGGACGTGGGTCAGAACTGCCCCAGTTCTGTATAATCAGAGTCCAAGCTTGTAGGATGGAAAGCAACAGGTAGGGAAAAGTAGCTGGTGGAGAATGACAGATGACAGCATGGGGATTGTGTGCTTGCTAATGTGCCACAAAGGCACACAAGGGTGAGAGATGTCTAAGGTTATCACATACTGAGGAGGCAACAGGGACAGGAGAACCAGCAGGACAGGTCCCTCCTCTGTGTGTGGTTGTATCTAGAAATGCTACTAAACATTGATAATGACAATAATTCCTTCATAATGCCAAGTGGCTCTGAGCCTGTCACTTTGTTGGAAGAGCCCTGTCAGTTTTCAAGAAGGTCAGTCGACAAGGTATCTGTTCCTAGGTGATCCAGAAGCCCTCATTTCCACATCCTACTGCAGAAATGAGACAAGTCAGCTTACCTCCCCCATGAATCATGGTGATGACAAGGTACAAATTCCCAAATGTGTTGACAGTTGATGACATCTCTCCACTTACAGGCCAGGACTCGGCCAGCCCCATCAGGAACACACACACAGGCCAGGTGAGAGGCAGCTTTGTCCACATAAAGGACACTAAAGCTGGTGTCCACACCTTCCTGGGAATTCCCTTTGCCAAGCCTCCTGTAGGACCACTGCGCTTTGCACCTCCTGAGGACCCTGAGCCATGGAGTAGTGTAAGGGATGGAACGTCAGAGCCAGCCAAGTAAGTTCTGGGACCTATGGGACTTTAGACTTTTGCTCTAGGCCACAGTGAAGTGCTTCCTCCACCTCAGGTCTATAGCAGTTTTCAGCCTGTGCTGAGGGGCATCTCTATTGCATGTTTCTGACAAATGTGCTAAGGATTACAGTAAAAAAACAATGGTATCAGCTTACTGGGTCAGAGCTTTTAACCTGTATGGAGTTAGCTGAAGGTACTGCAGTAAGGAGCAGAGACTGAACCCATTCTTTCCTGTCACTGTGATTCATTGTCCCCGTATCATTGACTAAGGAAATGTACACATGCTTCCAACTGGAGGCTCTGTGGAACAAGGTGGTACATAACTGGTACTCGGAAGCGAACTTAAGAATGTCTCACTACCCTATAAAATGCTGTTGTTTATTAATTTCTATAGTTGCTATGTTGGCATAGTGTCCCATGACCCAGTATCTTTGTTTTATTTCTGTTGCTGTGATTACATATCCTAAGATAACAAATTAGTGAAGTCATGTTTTATTATGTCTGACAGTTCAAGCATATCAACCATATTTGGGAAATCACAGAGGGAGAAATTTAAGAAAGCTGATTGCATAACATCCATAATGAGGAACAGAGTTTAAAGGTCACAGGCATCCCTACTCTCGTTCACTTACCTTCTCCATTCTTATACAATCCAGCAGCCCCTTCCTAGGGAATGGTGCCTCCTATGATAGGCAGACATTCCTATTGCAAATAACATTATCAAGATAACTTTCCAGTGCCATGCTTTATCTCCCAACAGGATGAAGACAATCTCTTAGTAAGATTCTTTTCCCAGGTGTATCTATGGTGTGTCAAGTCAACAATCAAATCTAACCATGATGTCAAAATTTAGATTTTATATACAGAAGGATTAAATGTTGGAGCAAAGACCATATAATTTTCAGTGAAGCTGTCAGAAGTCTACATAAAATAGCCCCCCAGAATATAAAAATGTATGGCAAGACCTCCATGTAAAAATTTGTCTCTACTTCCATTTGCACAGGACTGGTGGCTTTTACTGTGGTAGGGACTTTAGAAAAGAATCACGTTAGCAATCCAACATGGAATGCAGTAGCTGTGGATTTCTAAGAGAAAATACAGACTAAGATATAGATTTGACCACCACATAACTTGTTTGTCCTGCCTTATATTTTCACTAGGTGTCTGCAGACTGATACAAAGAATTTAGTGGTTATGAAAGAGATGAAGCTGACCATGCTTCCCATCCCTATGTCTGAGGACTGTCTGTATCTCAACATCTACACACCAGCCAATGCCCATGAGGGCTCAAACCTGCCTGTGAGTGTCATGTTATGGCTACTAGGAACATGTCATTTATTTCTCTGGAGGATGGGAAGGAACAAAATAATTCTGAGCTCCACTGTTGTTTAGATCCTGATTATTAGTCGTACCTTACTGAGTTCAAGAAGGTCATGTCAGCCCATGGTCAGCTGCTTAAAGGGGTGTGTGGGTGTGTGGGTGTGTGGGTGTGTGTGTTTGTGAGTGTGTGTGTATAACTCACTGTCCTGAGATTCATGGAGGTAAGAGGGTCTAGGTATTAGATTAAACAAGGAATTCTATCAGTTTGGCACACCAACTCAGGATGGTGCACAAAGGCTGAATATTGACATCACCCAAATTTCTAACATCAATTTATCTGTTTGCCAAGTTAGATATGCAGCCCATTGGGATTAGCAATCAGGAAAGGCTCATAGGAAGATACTCCATTTTTTGTTCTACTTAGATGGGTCTGAGAATACCAATGACTTTAATTTAGATCTAAAGTCTAATCCATGCTGAGATTTCCTGTTGGGGAAACAGGAATGGAAACATGCTCACAGGCCTAAAGCACCTCTTCTGTGACTCACTTCCTAAGATCCTGAGGATACCTGTTTGTAGGTCAATCTGCAAGAGAACAAAGCAGTTGTTAACCTAGTAGGCAGTCTAGGTGAGCCTGGGATGTGTGTGGGCCTCCTGGCAACTGAATTGCTGTCTCCAGGTGATGGTGTGGATCCATGGTGGTGCACTGGTTATAGGATGGGCTTCTATGTCTGATGCATCCACACTGGCAGCTACTGAGGAAATAGTAATTGTCTCCATCCAATATCGCTTGGGTATCCTTGGCTACTTCAGGTAAGCCTGGGACTGGCCTAGGTAATGAGGACTAAGTTGTACATGGGAAGCCATGCAATTCTTCTTCCTGTTACTTCTCAGTACTGGAGACAAGCATGCCAGAGGCAACTGGGGATACCTGGACCAGGTGGCTGCCCTACGCTGGGTGCAGAAAAATATCGGTTACTTCGGAGGCAATCGTGACAGGGTCACTATTTTTGGTGGATCAGCAGGAGGCACAAGTGTGTCTTCCCATGTTGTGTCCCCAATGTCCCAAGGACTCTTTCATGGAGCCATTATGCAGAGTGGAGTGGCCCTGATGCCTGGTCTCATTTCTGACACTTCTGAGGGTGTCTACAAGGTAAGTGCCCTGAAGAACACCAGCCCCTAGAAAGCTACTTCAGTCATTGACTCTGGAGATCTGGTGTTCAGTTAAGTAAATTTTATGTATGCTGAGCAAGCTATATGACAACAAATTTCTATCCAGGGGCTTCTGTCATTAGCAAAAACATTTATGCATGGTTTCCCAGTTGGTTTCTTATTGTTGTGATAAAGATGATTACCAGAAGCTCCTTGGAGAGAAAAAGGTTTATTTCAGCTAACATCTTATGACCTATCTTGAGTAAAGTATGCAGTCAGGAATGTACCTGGAGACCAAAACTGAAACAGAGGCAAAGGAGCAATGTCCTTACTGACTTGTTACCCATGGCTTCCTAAATTATCTTTCTTATAAAACCCAGAACAGGTGCCCATGGGTGGCATTGCCCACAGTGAGGTAGAACCTTCTGCATCATTTCTCAGGAAAATGCCCAGATTTGCCTATGGACCAATCTGATAGAGGCTTTTTTTTTCACCTGAAGTTCCTCTTTCCAGATGATCATGGATTGTGTTGAGTTGATAACAAGAAATCTAACAAGAACACATGATTTGAGGGAAAGGGCCAGCTGGTAAAAATATTTGCTGTGCAATTGTGAGGTTCCAAGTTTAATTCCCGGAACTCATACAAAACCTATAGTGGCAATTAAGTGTCTAAAACCCCAGTGTTCTTATGGTAGTCTAGAAAACAAGGACAGAAGACTCCCGGAAGGTCATAGGCCAGATAAGCTGGTGTAGACAAATGCAAACCAGGGATATCATGACATGTAACAGCTGAGGCTTTTCTCTGACCATCATGGACAAAATGTGCTATACTATACCTATTGTCACCCGAGAGTAACACACACACACACACAACACACACACACACACACACACACATACCCGAAAGTAACAACAAAACAATATGCAAATAGAATGTTCTTTCCCAGCTGTCACCTCTGAGCAACAGAAAATGTGAAAACCTCCACTTCCTCCTTTCATACACAAAAAATATTTGGATGTCGAATTTGGATGTAATAACTTTCTAGTAGAATCACATGTACTCTGCTCTCTGCTAGTAGGAATGAGCTAACCATTATCTGTTCCATTTACAGACAGTAGCCAACCTATCTGGATGTGGGACCCCAGACTCAGAAGCCCTGATACACTGCCTTCGAGCAAAGAGTGAACAAGAGATCCTGGCTATTAACCAGGTTGGGAGAATTGTGTGTCTTTGAGGACCTGATGAACAGAATGTGGTTCTGTCATTATTTACTACTCATATGTGCTTACTCATCTCCATGGTTTGGTGTCCTTTGAGTACAATGTACAAAAAGAACAAGAGAAGCTAATTATCATATAAAGTTCTTCCTAGAGTGTTCACAGAACTCTGAGATGAGATAAGATACAGGGAATTATTTTGGATAGTCATTGGCATTAGAATGTATATATAATTGATCTTCAGCACTGATCATCAATGCTGTGTAGGTCTTCAAGATGATCCCTGGAGTGGTGGATGGGAAGTTTTTCCCCAAGCATCCTCAGGAGCTGTTGGCCTCTAAGGAATTTCATCCTGTCCCCAGCATCATTGGTATGACCTCAGATGAATGTGGCTGGGGAGTCCCCAAGGTAAGACCTAGTTCTAAGCCCGTGAGAACATAAACTCAAATTGTAGGTACTCGGAACTCAGAGATACCTTGATGTAGTTCCAAACCATCCAATACTTAAGACTATCCTCTGCCTCCCAGTTCATGGGCCTTGACCATATCATAGAGAAGATTACCAGAGAGACCCTTCCAACTGATCTGAAGAGCGCTGCAGCAAAGATGGTGAGAGAGATCTTGGCTCTTTTCCTGATATGGAGGGTTCCTGTATATTTTTAAGAGATAACATGCCCAAAAATAAAGTGTGTGAGTTACTTTGTATGTGTGCCTGTACATGTGCATGTGTGTGTGTTTCTGTGGGGAATCAATGAAAAGCTTCTACTATTCTCCCGACACCCCACTTTACTGTTGACCACATTCCTTATTTAGAGTCTGATGCCTGCCTGTCATCATTCTTCCTGATTCCTCCTGGTATAGATGCTTCCTCCAGAATGTAGTGACCTGTTAATGGAAGAGTACATGGGTAACATTGAAGACCCAGAGATCCTTCAAACACAGTTCAAAGAGATGCTGGAGGACTTCATGTTTGTGATCCCTGCCCTCCAAGTGGCACATTTCCAGCGTGAGTACATCTGGGACTAGAGCAAGGAAAGGGGGTGCTCAGATCTGTGGGACCCAAGTGAGCTCTGCAATGTCCAGTCCAGGTCTATGTCTTGGTTGGGTCTCTTACAGCTGGCAGCTTTTCCCCACTAAATCTTTACATCTAGTGTAAAGGCTGGCTTAATATCCAGGGCTAGAAGAGGAAATATGTTACTTTCCCTCAGTGTCTTATCACCTACTCAGTTGGGAATGTGAGGGTCTGGGTAACAAAGGTTTCCCTTTCCAGTGGTCCAGTCTGGATATCACCACTCAACTGTGATTGCAGATAACTGTAGAGCAAGATGTCTTGTCACCATGGGTTAGGTAGATAAGTTCCATATGAGAAATCATGTCAACTTGTGTCCTCCTTACCAGGTTCCCACGCTCCTGTGTACTTCTATGAGTTCCAGCACATGCCCAGCTTCATGAAGCATGTCAGGCCACCCCACGTGAAGGTGGACCATGGGGATGACCATCTGTTTATCTTTGGCTCCTATGTGTGTGGCATGAATTGTGAGTCTTTCATGTTTTCCTAGAGCTAAATGGAGAATCAGATGATTTCCTCAGGGATTATTGAGCACTCTGTACAATTGGGAAATTGAGAGTCTTGGAGGGGACAGGAGAAGTGTTCCAGATATCCAAGCTTTACAAAAAAAGCCATGCTCCTCCCTCTAAAATATCCCAGAATTAAAATATAAACCCTTCCTGGTTTGGCTTGAAGTAGAAGGAATGTGTGCACACTGCTTTAGTAATGAATCTGAGAAACATCAAGTAGTGCTTTGGATCAATCCTTTTGTACTCTGTACAAAGCTTTTTGTATTCTGAGTGGGAGGGAAGAGGGTATAAACCAGGTCTATGGTTTGGCCTTGGGATGTAGTTTCTGTAGCAGAGCATGAGTTGTTACCTGCATGAGGAGGCTAGCACTGGTTTCTCCTTCTGTTTGCAGTTGACCTCACTAAGGAGGAAGAGCTGTTAAAAAGGAGGATGATGAAGTACTGGACAAACTTTGCCAGAAATGGGTGAGAATACTTCCCATTCTCAACCTAGTTAAAGTCAGGTCTAATGTGTGTCCCATTAGTATGCATGGGTCCTTAATTACATGATAGTCTTCAGCTCAGGGCATCCTCAGGCAGATACCTTCTAGCTGTCATTTACTGTTCATCCCACAGAGACTGGGTGGGTGAGTCACACTATTGTAGTACTGTTTTTTAGATTGTACCTCTGAGAGAGAGACACAAAACTAGCCAGCAGCCTTTTCTGCACATGGAGTAGACACTGATGATAACACTTGTATTTATATCATTACACAAGTCCATCTGTCCCCTGCTGTCCTTGGTCTGCTCACCCAGTGTCCTTATCAAATAAGGGATCAAGCTTTGAATCAGAGAGACCTTCATTCTTTCTTCCTGGCTGGTATATCCACAGGAACCCCAACAGCGAGGGTCTACCCTACTGGCCTGTGTTTGACCAAGATGAGCAGTATCTGCAGCTGAACACCCAGCCTGCTGTGGGCCGAGCCCTGAAGGCCAGAAAGCTGCAGTTCTGGACCAAGACTCTGCCCCAGAGGATCCAGGAGCTTAAGAGTTCTCAGAACAATCATGAAGAGCTTTAGCGACCATTGTCAGGAAAGGTGTGTGAGTTTGAAAACAGATGGTGTAACTCTGAAGTTACAAAGTCCATTGATCAATAATCAGTTGTTCAACAAGAACATAAGCATTTCTCACCGTGCCATTTTCACTTTTCAGACATGTATGGAAACCATTTTGTGTGTTATTCATTATCATTCTGGAAAAACTTTCATGAGCATCAACAAAAGTTCTCATAACAGTGTAGATGTGTCAGCCCCAAAGTACTCCGATCTTCTTTAACCCTTCACTGAACTAGGCTCCACTTTTCTTCCTTCCTTCCTTTCTCTCTTCCTTCCTTCCTTCCTTCCTTCCTTCCTTCCTTCCTTCCTTCCTTCCTTCCTTTATATGTCCTTCCTTCTTCCCTCCCTCCCTCCCTCCCTTCCTTTCTTCTTTCTTTGTCCCTCTCTGACTCCCTCACTCCCTCTCTCACCTTCTCTATTCCTTCCTCCCTTGCTTGCTTGATTCCTTTTTTTCTTCCTTTCTTTTTTCCTCTACCTTCTCCCCATCCTCACTCTCCTACTTCTTTGTAAACATGACATTGCTTTACCTTACTATCCTGGGAGTTATCTCAAATCCAACATAACTAGAAGTGATTGGTTAGGTCACTTCAAGTAATGTGTTTGTTTCTTTTTATTGTGAAATCCCCTCAAGAGTCCACAAAACATATTTTATCCACTTACTAGTCTATGAAAATCTGTTGTCCTTGGTAAGTAGTTCTTCTTTCTGGAGACATGGTTTCTATATATCCCAGGTGGGGCATGAACACATGATCTCATTGTCTTGCCTTCCAGATATGGGTTTTAATAAGATGTATGGACATTTTCACACATGAAGTCAGGTGATCACATGTATTAAATTTTTGAATTTACAACCTAGAGCAGAACTGCTAAGTCAACAGACATGTGTTAAATATTTAAACTGTTGCTAGGCTAGGGAAACAGATAATTAGGCATTAGTAAACAGGTATCCAATTATTTCCAAAGCCCTAGGCACCATAAAAAATGAAACAAATCCAGATAAGACAAAATAGGCTTTCAATCCTAGCTAATTAGCTGAGAGTATAGGGATCACAAGGTAAGACCTGTCTGAGCTATAGAACATGCTCCTGGCACAACTGGAATATTTAATTGTGGTCCATAAAAATACAAAAAAAATGATCTGATACACCTCTGACTCAGCATAATTGGGCAGCTCTGATCCTGGTTCCCATTTCCCACATAGGGAGTCTTTCCTCTGCATGTAGCAGAGGAGAAACAGGAGTCCACAGGCCACAGCATTCAGCCAGAGGGGAAGTCTATCCAGTAGCATGATGGACTTCTAGGCCTTAGCCTGTGCTGTTATGAGTGCAGGGTTTCAAAAACAGGAAACAGAATATGTGGGCCTATTTCAGGCAGGAATTTGGCCTAATGTGACATAGGCAGAAGTATAATTGGGTGAAACAAAGTTCTTACTGCAAGGGAGCTTCACTGACTAGTCCTAAATGACAGAAGCAAATTGCAAGAATGCAGAGCAAAGCCACTTCTGAAGTTTTTTCCTTGGCCCACTAGAAAGGCATAGTACAAACTTGACACAGCAAGAGTCATCAGAGAGGAGGGAGCCTCAACTAAGAAAAAGTCTCAGAGAGTGGCCAAGATTTGACTCTAGGCAAGCCTATAAAGCATTTTCATAGGTAGTAATTGATGGAAGAGGGTCCAGCCCATTGTGGATGATATCACCCCATGCTGAAGGTATTACATTCTATAGGAAAACAAGCTGAACAAGCTATGAGGAGGAAGCCTGTGAGCAAAACTACATCACTTCCTGTCTCTGGGTTCCTGCATGCTCTAACTGCTTTTCATGATGACCTGTCATATGGAATTGTGAGCAAAATAAATCATTTCTTCCCTAAGTTTCTTTTTGTCACGGTGTCTCATCCTGGCAATAGTGATCCTAACAAAGACTTGTAGAGTGGTTTCTGAAGCCCCTCTGGGATACCAAGAGCCCTGCCCTCAAATCTTAAGTCACCATGATCCCTATCTTATCCATCAACCTACTGCAGATACTGGAATGAAGATCAGGGAGCAGAAAATTGTAACAGGAGAAGCCACAGGGCTCCTGTTTGTAGGTACATAATCAAGATACCACAGACAGAGAGGTGTGAAAGGGCAGGAGCTCTGAGTATGACATCCACCCTCAAGGCTCTTGTGCACTGCCAAGACTCAGAGGCCCTTGCCCCTTAGAGTGATCTTAGGGTCTATACATACCCTCCCTGTTAGGTCATGGTAGCTTCATTGAAACACTGTAATTCTGCATGAAAGTACTCATTTCCTATTCTATCCACTCTATCCACTTCTATGCCATGGCTTCTCTAATGGCCCAATCCTTATAAGAAAACAACAGTCATCTATCTACTTTTCCAATATTATTTAATGTTTCGTAATCACTTATGTGTATATGTGTTCACATGCAGATGCACCTATGTGCATTCATCTGTCATGGCCCATATGTAGAAGTAAAGGGACACTTGAAGGAGTCAGTTGTCTCCTTTTACCATGTGGATCCTTGAGATTAAACTTGGATTGTTTATCAGAGTTGGCAGTCTTTACTCTCTTATTAATCTTCCCAGGCCATACTTGATGAACATATCATGGGCATTGCTGGGGGCAAGTAAGGGGTGGATGGGGAATGGAGGACAGTGGATCTTGACAGGTGGGCATCCTGTGTGCTGGAGTTAGGTTACAGCTGGGATTGTGCATGTGGCAGCTGAATGGGGGCAAGGACTAACATCATCATCAGGGTGGAGACAGGGACAGAAAGTCGAGAGTGCACTGGGAAGGGCTCAGAGCTAATCCTAGCACATCATTTTGAGCTATCAGAGCTTCTGTTTCCTCAGTTAAACAGTGAGTTCAGGCATTTTTCAAGTGCTCATCTGGGTTTCCATCCTGTTCATTGAAAGAGGATAAAAAGGAAGACTCCCATTTGCTACTACAAAAGGAGGATCCAAAGACAAAAAAAATATCTTTGGCAGGGTCTGCCTCCATGTGGTGTGGTAGCCTGACATCTCTGAAAAGGTTAGGTTCTTGCTGGAACTCACAGAATTTAACAGGGACGAGCCTGGGGGTATGGAAATAAAGGTCCTTAACTAGAACCATCCTACCACATCTTGTAAGATACATTGGCCTAATATTGTCTGGCATCACATGGATAGAGGGGTGTGTGTGTGTGTGTGTGTGTGTGTGTGTGTGTGTGAGAGAGAGAGAGAGAGAGAGAGAGAGAGAGAGAGAGAGAGAGAGAGAACTCTAAGACTGAGACATGTGCCTTGGAAAGGGCCTTCGTTAAACCATGACCCTGGCCTACCCACCTACCTGAGTAGTTTGGGGAATACCTAGAGCATAGTTTCCTCTCTTTCCTGATCTGTGTTACACTCTGATACCAGACGAATGGATTTACTAAACAAAAAGCCATTAGAATCCTGGGACTAGAGAAGAAAAAGAGACATAGGTGGTGACCTTGACTATAGGGCTGTCTCTCAACCTGCAGCTCTGAGACATCTCCTTGGAATAAGACCAGTTTGTCAGTACTAGAGATCAAAAACATGGCCCCATACATATGAAGCGAGTGTTCTACCATTAACCAGAATTCCAACCCAGAGACAGAGAAAGTACTCAGCTTATATGAGACAGAAGAGTATGAATTATTGATTCTGTCCCTTGAAGTCTTCAGCAAGAGAGAAGGAAGAAGGGAATTCCCATGTACCTCTATGATTTCTATTTTCTGTGGGGCAGTGGACTGTGATAAGCAGCTGGGTTGCTTCTATGTCAATGAATCTGGGCTGGTAGAACAAGATGTACAAATGCTCAAAGAGCTCCAGAGGAACCTCCGGGCATGCTATACTCCCAACATTCCTGCCCCCTGGTACTCTAACCCCTTGATGGCTTGGATTCTTCCCCTCCTTGGCTCCATACTAGTCACTGAAACCTTGCTTCTCCTGGCACCCTGCCTCTTTCAGTTTCTACAGCAACAGACAAGTAGCATTGTAAAGGTAACTACCAATCATGTCTTGGTTCAGTATCAAACTGTTCCCAACATAGGAGACACTTATTCTGATGACACCTCTCCTTTGTAAAAGAAAAAGGGGGAGTTGTGGGCAGAAGACTGTGAGAAGCAGATAGGTGCCTGGGTGAGCAAAAGTCTTGAACCTCGGACCTTTATCAGGATCGAAGGTATTAGGCTCTGCCCCTAGGCCCTGGTTCTTTTCATTCAGCTTTGGCCCTCCACAGCCCCTCCCAAAAAGAGGTCTAAGACCAACAGTCACAAGTAACAGTGCCTCAGGTTCTCCCACATGTAAATGAGGTATCTCCAAGCTCTCAGACCAAGCCAATAGACATAATCTGCTGCCAGATTCTAACCCACCCTGGAACTGTATATAAGGGCTCCATTCAGGAGAAGTAAAAGTGCATGTTTGAGAATCATCCTGGTGTCTGGGAGTTTCTTTCTCAAGAGCTGTAACACTTGGGGAGAGATCTGCTCTCCTTGAATCTTCCAGGGGCACCAAACTACTTCCTTGCCAGCTAGCCGGCTTCCTATGGGCCCAGCTTAGGCCGGCTCAGTTTGGAGCACCTGGGAGTGACCAAGAGGCAAGAGAGGAGATTCAAGCAGAGGCAGCAGCGGGGTCAGGCAATCTCCCCTCTTTGTTCCCACTCCATGCCCTTTGACCCAGACCTCCCACTCTAGGCTGGGCTAGAGAACAACAGACAGTGGAGACACTGGGAAGTCTGTCCCATAGCATAATTACTTTGCAGCCCCAAGTCTGCACTGCTTTGGGACTGACCACAGAGGGTATAAACCTTGCCCCTGCAGGAGCTTAGAACTGAAGGAGAGTAGGCACAGTGGGAGCAGGCACTAAGACAAGCCAAGGTCTATTGACAGGACTGAGTGGTGGGAACCAGTGACAGCCAGTGAGGCAGAGCTGCCTCCCATTCCTGATCTTCCTTTAGTCCCCTTGGAAGGCACAGCAGAGCTTCTGAAGCCCTCCCTCCAATCCTGGAGGCACCATTTTTAGAATTATTGCACTAAAAGGGTCAATGAAAGTACTGGGGTAAAGAGAGGTGGCAGGAAGTTACAAGGTGAGAAGCCAGAGGGCTTTTCTGAGTAGATGTGTATTCAGGGTGTCACAGATACAGAGGAAGTGTAACCTGAGAAATTGTGATCTGGGGAAAGGGGAACTATGTGTGCATGACCATCACCCCGAAAATGCCTTCCTACTTTCAGGACTTACACTTTCCTGACTCCACGACTGGGGTCTGCACTGGCTGGTTTTATGTGTCAACTTGACACAAGCTGGAGTTATCACAGAGAAAGGTGCCTCCCTTGAGGAAATGC